TGAAGACACCTGCAGTCTAGCGTTCTTCCTGTAACATTTTGCCAACTATGGAAAGGTTTCTTCACAGTGACAGCTGTGAAAATGTGGAATAGACTCCCTCAAGAGTTGGTTCTGGCCAGCTCAGTGGATTGCTTTAAAAAAGGCCTGGATTCTTTCTTGGATACACAGAATATAACCGGATACTAACATTTATAGGTGAAGTTTATCCAAGGAATATCCGATGGTCTCTCGGGGATCAGGAAGGAATTTTTCCCTCTGCAAATTAGGTCATGCTTTGCTGGATTTTGTTGCCTTCCTCTGGATAAACTGTGGGTATAGGATTATAACTTTTTTTTTTTTAACTGGATGGACTTTTGTCTTTTTTCAGTCAGACTAACTATGTAATTATGTAATCATGGCCGGCTTTAGTTGATGCAAGTTCTAATGTTTTCAATCTGTCATTATGGGCTTCAAACTGTCTAGTTGAGCAAACCCTTATCTGCACTAGTTACTTTGAAATGACAGAACTGAATGACAGCAGAAACACAGATGAAATCGTACTCTCTAGTACCAACAGAAAGCAAAATGTTAAAGGGTAGGACAACTGTAAGTACACTTCACTGATACCATTTTTCTGTTAATAAGGAGTTTTAAGGAAATAGGTGGCAGTTAAAAAAAGAAAAATCCCATCACTGAAGAGGTAAAATAAAACATTTTGAGAAATTTTACTTATTATACTCCCTATCGTTCCTCCTTCTGTTTTCATCAGCAGTCATTCAAGAGAAAAAAAAAAATAGACTCCTAAGATGAAAGTGTCTCAGTGACTTCAGAATGGCAGGCAGCAGTATGACTTACTTACAAGTGGTGTGCCTCTCACTTTTCCCCACAGGGAGGCATGTAGTTGGGAACAGGGGTGGACTGACAACTCATGGGGCCCTCGGGCAATAGGGGATCATGGGGCCCCTGTATCCTCACCCACACTCAAACCACAAAGCCTATGAAAGTTACCAGGGGCATCTCATGGGGCCCCCTACTGACCAAGGGCCCTCGGGCAGTGCCCGAGTGCACGAATGGTCAGTTCGCCCCTGGCTGGGAATGTTCTGATTGTAAATATACATCACACTACATGCTGGTTTTGGTCATCTGAATGACAGCTGTAGGTTTGGGTGAAACCCTCTAGGCCAGCCTTTCTCAACCAGGGTGCCCCGGTACCCTGGGGTGCCTTGAGGGTCCTTTAGGGGTGCCTTGGCAAAATGTCTAAAAACTGCACAAAACTTGTATAAAAGCCAGTGGCTGCCTTTTAGTTACACAATGGCTCAGGTCTAGCAGCCGGTGTCCTGACAACCAATCACATCATCAGTTGATAAGGAGGATGTCGGCTGCCTTCAAAGCATCCATTGACCCTCCCCTGCCCCTCTCTATCAGTGCTGGGGTCAAATTAGCTCAGTGATGGAGAACAACTGATGGAGAAGAGAAACATTGGAATACTAGTCAGTACCAGTGTGCAAAAGTGTATTTGTATTAGAAGAATAAATCACCTCTAATGTTAGGTGTACTACGTGTGTGAATGTCAGTGTGTTATATAAAGTTATCAGAATATTTTTCACATTTTACAATGGGGTGCCTCAAGAATGTCCATAATTTTAAAGGATGCCTCGAGACTGTCCATGATTTTAAAGGGTGCCTCGAGACTGTCCATAATTTTAAAGGGTTCGAGACTGTCCATAATTTTAAAGGGTGCCTTGACTGAAAAAAGGTTGAGAAACACTGGTCTAGGCTATAGGGCCCTGTTCCCATCCCAGCAGCATCTACTTTTCAGCATGACCAGCAGTGGTGCCTGAGGAGGGAAGAAGCTGAAAAATTTTGGCCTCAAAGAGAAGGAAGGTGATGGCTGGGAAGATTTGTAGTGGGAGCATCAGAGTGGGAGAAAAGGCATCAGAGCAGCAAGGTAAAAGGCAGAAGCAGCAGAAGCTTGGCACCATTCAGCTATGCTGCATGGAAGGTAGCTTTCCTACCCTAAATATTTGTCTGTTTGTTGTTGGATGAGTTCATCAGTACGTAGGGATCTGTCAAGTGGATTGGGGCACCTCACAAACTGGATTCAGTTCTGTTTTTGGTCTGCAAGTGAGAGCAAGCTCTGGCTGTGCTGTGGAAAAGAAATCACATGGCTAGCACGGTTGTCGTTCTGAAAATAGGTCATTTCTTAACCTCCCGCAGGCTGTCAAGGGCTCAGCTGCAGGATGGAGCCCAAGCTGGCAAGACCAGCACTGTTCAGTCTTGGCAGGAGTTGATGCTTCAGCTCAGGACAGCTCTGCTCAGCCACATCCTCTACCATCGTCATACAGACCTATCCGTTTCTTATTTGGGTATAAGAAGGGCCAGCTGTAATCTTGGGGGGGTCTCAAAAAGCCCAGAAAATGCTCACTAAAAGCCCCATAGACTGCATTGTGCTACCAGCCTGTCTTTATGAACATACACAACATGCAATGTACACTATGTAACAAATGAATAATCATGATAATAAACGAAGAGTTAGAAGTAGAACTTTTACAGTAACAGTAGTGGACATGCTACACAACAGAAACATAAAAGAAACATAGAAGAGTGATAGCAGGAAAAAGACCAGGTGGTCCATTGAGTATGCCCATTTTTTCTTACTCTGTATATGGTTTTGGTTTTTGATTTATTTTTTTTATTTTTTTTGTATAAAGATATGTTTATTAAAAACTTGTATTAGTCCACTTGTTGACTGGCTCACTACCTTTGCTGGAAGACTATTCCTAGCTTCTCTTTCAGCAAAATAATGCTTTCTGAGATTAGTTTTGAACTTTCCTTCTGCTATTTTGAAGTCATGTCCCCCATGTACTTAATCTTGGCTTTATATACTGCCCTTCTCAATCCTATTCACACCACTAACATATTTAACCACTTGCCCACTGGACACTTTCTCTCCCTTCCTGCCCAGGCCAATTTTCAGCATTCAGCGCTGTCGCACTTTCAATGACAATTGTGTGGTCATGCAACACTGTATCCAAACCAAATTTTTATCATTTTTTTGAGACAGATAGATTTATTTTGGTGGTGTTTAATTACCACTGAGTTTTTTTTTACTAAATAAACTAAAATAGACCAAATTAAAAAAAAAAAATTTCTTTGTGTCTGTTATATAATTTTGTACATAAGTCATTTTTCTCCTTCACTGATGAGTGCTTATGAGGCAGCACTGATAGCTGGCACTGATGGGCACTGATAGATGGCACTGATGGGTACTGACAGACATAATTGATTGGCACTGTGTGGCACTGATAGGAGGTACTGACTGGCACTGATAAGCGGCACTGACTGTCACTGATAGGCAGCACTGATTGGCACTGCTAGGTGGCACTGATATGCTGCACTGACTGGCACTAATAGGTGGCACTGATTGGCACTGATAGGTGGCACTGATGGGTACTTATAGACCTCACTGATAAGGAGACACTTTTAGGTGGAACTGATGGGCATTGACAAGCATCGCTGATGGGCACTGAAAGGCAATACTGGGCATGATATGTGGTACTTATGGGCACTGATATGTGGCACTTATGGGAACTGATATGTGGCACTAATAGGTGGCACTGATGGGCAATGATAGGCGGCACTAATGGGCACTGATAGGCAGCACTGACTGGCACTGATAGGCAGTAATGATTGGCACTGATAGACCACAGTGATGGGCACTGATAGGCATCATTGATTGGCACTGATAGGTGGCACTTATGGGCACTGATATATTGCACTAATAGGTGGCACTGATGGGCAATGATAGGTGGCACTAATGGGCACTGATAGGCAGCATTGACTGGCACTGATTGACACTGATAGGTGGTAATTGGCACTGATAGGCCACAGTGATGGGCACTGATAGGCATCATTGACTGGCACTGATAGGTGGCACTGATAGTTGGCACTGATGGGTACTGGTAGACTGCACTGATTTGGAGGCACTGATAGGCGGCACTGATGGGCAATGATATATGGAATTGATGGCCACTGATATGTGGCATTTATGAGAACTGATCGGTGGCAATGATAGGCACTGAAAAGCAGCAGTGATGGGGCTGCACTGATTATCAGGGCACTAATGATCAGTGCCTTGATTATCAATGTAGATGTCTCCTCTAAGGAATGCCACTTACCAGCTCTCCTCTCCTCATGCAGAGGACACAACTGATCTCATGGTAGAGCCTACATCATCAGCTCTTTACCGCGATCAGTGATCTTCTGTGTGTGAGGGACACAGCGCACCACCAATCACCGTGCCGCATGCGCAGCTAGAATGAAAGGATGTCAGATGACATCCTTTTTAGAACAAGAGAGCTCCCGCCCATCTGACATTTCCCTATGCGGTAGGCAAAAGGCAATTAAAGTTTTCAGTCATGTCTTCCATTTCCCTTCTTTTCCCAAGACTGTACATATTAGGGTCCTGAAGTCTCTTCTAATGTTTCATCCCTCAGACTTTTCATCATTTTGTTACCAGTCTCTGGAATTTATCAATATCTTTTTGTGAGGTCTCCAGAACTGGACACAGTATACTAAATGAGGTCTCACTAAAGCTCTATATAGGGGAATCAAGACCTCCTTTCTCCTGCTGTTGACCTAGTGATGCATTCTAGAATTCTATTTGCTTTCCCCATAATGCCAAGGATTGCAAGGCAAATTTGTTAATACTCTGGATAAAGCCCCTAAAAATTAGAGGTGGGGTTGATCCAGACATTCAACTATTGTAGCATAAATTAATCTTTGCTAGCGATGCTTTGTTATTTAAAACTTAAAATGTGGAAAGGAGCAGAATACATCACAAAGTTACATTGTGCAAAGTGAGATTGAGAATCTGAGAGGAGCGGTGGCTACAGCTGGGCAGAGATGACAGCCAGCACACACAGACATAAAGATAGGCTTTTATTGCACAACAGAGCCATGCTAGATAAGAGAGTACCACCAGTCCTCCTGTACTTGGCCCAGGCCAGCAGCAGGGCCCAGGCAGCTGGGTGAATTGGATATGGGCAGGGAGGATGATCGGCACAGCTGGGGGGCAATTACTGGAATCGATCCCCTGTATGGTTCTCTCTGCAGCAGCTGTAAGCTGGCTTCTTCTCCTTTCCCTCCCACTGGCTTTCAGCTGATGCAGAGAGAGCCATATAGGGGATCGGTTCCAGTAATTGCCCCCCCACCGCACCAATCACCCTCCCTGTGCACCATACATTTCCCCCTGCTGCCCAAGTTCCCCTGTGTGCCCCCACTCCTGCAGTGCTTCCGGCTTCCCTCCTCTCCTTCTCACCAGTAGCTGCAAGCACACAATAGGATCCTTCATGATGGACATTATAGGAAGATAAAATATGTTCACATTTATCAGCCCCTTATTTCCCTGAATTAACACAGGTAATCATCGGTACCAATTACTCACTGTGTTCATTCATAACTGAAGCATAGTAAACTGTACTTTCTGTTTTTTTAGAGGTTGGCTGTATGGGGCCCTGTGGTTTCTAACAGCAGCCCTGGAGCCATAGATCACAACAGGGCCAAGTTCTACATGTACTTGGTCACCCAGAGGATTCAACAAGATTTTTAATTTGTGGTGATACTTCTTTAACCGCTTGCGGATCATACACTGTACATACATGTGTACAGTGTGGGCCCGCTGCGCTGGATCACATACATGTACGTGAATCCAGACCTCTGGGTAGGGGGAGCATGCACCCTGGCTGTCCTGTCACTGGCTCCAGAATCAGGTCCAGGCTCCAACATCAGGTCCAGGCCAATGATTTATGGCTGGGACCCACCAATCGGTGAAGCAAGTGTCAGGAGTTTGGCTTCAATTTGTTAGTGTATCTAAATCTGCTAGTATATCTGACTCCCCTCCCCCCAGGCTGACAAAGTAGCTGACCAAGGGTGTCTCTGTTGCTCCATCATCCAGAGTGGGGACACTCTAATACAGGAGGTGTGTTACTTTCCAGATTGCCAGGTGAAAACAGAAAGAAAAAGCCTCTATAAAAGAAAACTAATGATTAATAAACTGAATTAAAATTACACTTTTGGACATTTGTTTAACCACTTTCTGTCCACCTGCCCGCAATGTACTACGAATGGGGTGGCAGCTACTGGACCAGTGATGTAGCCGTACATCGCTGGTGTTGTACCAACACAGAGGGGCACATGATCACAATGACAACAAAGCTGTTATGAATCAATCTGGTTCATACTGTAACAGCTCTGCTTCTCTTCCTGTGAGCTGTGATTGTCCCACAGCTCTTACATGGTATATGGAGCCAATCACAGCACTCTGTACCATGTGTGACCAGCTGGAGCCAATCACAGATCACTGTATTTTGAACTGTCATAAAATTATCCCATTCATGACAGTTCAAAGCAAGCATTGCATTGCAGAGAAATAATCTTTATTGTTCCTACAATGCAAAGTGTAAAGAGACAAAAAAAATCCCTGATCACCCCCCCCCCCCAGGGTAGTACAGTGTTACTATGGAAACATTGCACTACTCTGATGAAAGTATTTAAAAAAAAAGTAGAAAAAAAGAAAAATAATGTTTAAAAAAATAAAAATATTCCAAGAAATTTTTGCTTCCAACTACTTGCTGCCTGCTCGCCACAATGTGCTGGCGAGTGGCGGCTCTGAGGAAAGTGACATGCCCTTACGTCGCTTTCTATTTTGGGGTGTAAGCGAGCCTGTGTCCCCCGCTGCCCCCCCCCCCCCCCCACCACCACCAGTCCAGGAAGAGAAGAGGGAACACTGCACACTGAGTAAAATTACTACATTTTACACACACTTGTTAGATTAGCACATTTAACCCTTTGATCGCCCCTATTAACCCTTTGATTGCCCCATCACCCAGCCAGTGCCATTAGTACAGTGTCAGTATATAGAATTTTTCACTGTATTACTGCCACTAGCGACATCAGATAGCATCAGGGTTTGTAAGCTCCCCTCCCAGCCAGTGTCAGTTAGCGTTAGATTGCCTGCACACTACCTTACTCACCCTATAGGTTCGCTGATCAATGCCATTTACTAGTATAGTGTTTGTACATATCAATATATTGATCATGAACAGAACTATACTAGTTCCTCCTTAGTATAGTGTTCCCAAAACCACAGTGTTAGCAGGATCGGCCCCATTCACTTTCAGCACTAGCGTTTAGTCCCTCTGTTGTTTTTCATGAAATATTTCTATCAATTGTTGTGGGCCGAAGCAATTTATATGCACAACAATACATGGCCGCCCACCCATCTTCAGCTCTTGCCAGACAATTTGCATGGAACACAGTTCCTGAATTTAAAACTTTTTTGGTCCTGATCTTCAACTTGGACCATGTTGGTCCACAGACCCGATTCATCATATGCCCATGTTCTCTGCTGTTACATATATGCCCAACAAGGACCAGAAACGTACTGGTACATTGCTGGACTTTGTGTGATTATAGCGGGATGATGCCTACAGCTACAGGCATCATCCTGGTATCTTTTTTTTTTAGCTGGTGGTTGGTTTCATGTAAAAACAATCCTAGCAAATCCTAATTTGCTGCTGGACTGCTTTTACAAGCAGTGGGAAGGGATATCCCCCCATCACCACCCCACCATTTTCCACAGTGATTAAAAAAAAAAATGAAAGGGACAGTGTAAAAAAACAAAAAATAAATGAATACATTTTAAAAAATTCACCCCCATCCCTGTGCTTGCACGCAAAGGCAAATGCAAGCGGCTGTCCAGTGTCGGTATGTAAACAGAGATTGCAGCATGCATGTCAGGTATCACCGCAAATGTCAGATTGAGGGCACTAGCACTAGACCTGTGTAAATATAAACTGGTGACCTGTAAAGGCTTTTAAAGTGTTGCCTATGGATATTAATAATTTACGTAGTTTATCACCGTTGCACAGGCGTGTGCAGTTTTAAAGTATGTCATGTTTGGTGTACATTTACTTGACGTAACATCATCTTTCATATTTTATCAGCTAATTGGGCAATATATTGTGTTTTTGTGCATTAAAATATTAAAAAGTGTATTTTTTCCAAAAACATTGTGTTTGAAAAATCACTGCGCAAATACTGTGTGACATAAAAAATTCAACACCCACCATTTTATTCTCTAGGGCCTCTGCTTTAAAAATATATATAATGTTTGGGGGTTCAAAGTAATTTTCTAGCAAAAAAAGTTTTTTCATGTATACAAAAAGTGTCAGAAAAGGCTTGGTCTTCAAGCGGTTAGAAGAGTGGGTGGTGTATGGCATAAGTTTCTAATGTTGGCCCTGGATAGTAGAAGCAACCCCCAAAATGACCCCTTTTTTCAAAGTAGACACTCCAAGGTATTTTCTAAGGGGCATGGTGAGTATTTTCCAGATCTCATTTGTTGCCACAAGTTTTTGGAAAACGAAAAAAGAAAACGAAAATGTATTTTGTCTTTTCTTTTTTTTTTTTCAAAAACCTGTGACAAAAATAATATCTGTAAAATACTCATCGTGGGGGGGGGGGGGGGGGGGGGGGTCGTACTATCCTGACATTTTAGGGCCTCTGAAACTGTGATAGGTAGTGAGAAAGTGACATGAGGAATTATGCCCTTTGAAAGCCTGGAGGTGGTCACTGGATTTTCAGGGCCTGTATGTAGCTAAGCTGACAAAAAGTCTCTCACATGTGGTATCCCCATACTCGAGAGAAGTAACAGAATGTGTTTTGGGGTGTTATTCCACATATACTCATTGCATGTTTGAGCAAAAAAAATTTCATTTTCAAAAAAATTTGTGTCAAAAAATAAAATCTTCCATGGATTCAATATACCTCTCAGCAAATTCCTTGGGGTGCCTACTTTCCAAAAAGGGGTCATTTGGGGGATTTTTGTACTGCCCTGGCATTTTTGCACTTCAAGAAATGCGATAGGTAGTCAGAAAGTAAAAGCTGCATAAATTCCAATATATATATACCATAGTTTGTAGGCTCGCTATAACTTTCACAGCAGAGATACAGGAGGTGGGAAATGATCCTGAACCTTACTCTCCAAGTTGACCATAGTGGTTCTATGATTTTGAGGCCTGGCAACTGCAGCACCTAGGGAAGGTGAAAGACTTTGTCTGCATGCTCATCAATCCACGATTTGACAACACCAGTTGTGTGAATTGGAGCATTATTGTCTTGGTAAATGGTCTTTAGGAAACAATGTCTGCACCATGGGGTGCACATGGTCAGCCAAAATTTGTACATAGTCACTGGTAGTGACTCTACCTTTCAAGGTAATAATGGGGCCTGCAGAACACCAAAATATGACTGCCCACACCATGATTGCCCAGCCACCATGCTTTACTCTTTGGCACAGGACAGTCCTGGTTGTAAGCTTGGGAAAGTGTTCACCACACATAAACACGTCCGGTGGCTGGGACCAGCATGAAGCTCAATTCTTCAGACCATATTACAGTCTTCCATTGATTGAAAGTCCATGATTTATGGGTGTTGCAAAACTCTTCTGATCATTAAAGTGTTACTAAACCCAGGACCCTGCATTCACTATATCTTGTCTCCCACAGTACACACAACATGGAAATGCAATTATTTTAGTAAATATAATACCTTTTTCTTATCAGCAGTATATAGCAGTCTTGTGACTTCAGCTGAGCACTGGTTAAAGCTTGTAGGAGGAGTTTTCTTTCTGCTCTAGCAGGATGTGGAACCCCTGACCCTCTGTCTGGACAGTGCTGATTGTCCCTGTGCTGATCACATGCACACTCCCAAGAAAAAAAAAAACCTCTAGCAATACACACCAAACTGAGCATGTGCATGTGACTACGGGTTCAGTCTCTCTTATCAGATGGACATTTCAACAAGAGGAGGGGCAGAGGATTAACCCCTTCGGTTCCATAGTGAGTATAACAAGCATGCTTTACTGCGTATACAGACTGATTTTACTGTTGTGGGTTTAGTAACACTTTAATATAGGTCATCAATGGTTTGGCAATTGCAGCTCTCCCAAGAATATTTTGCTTATGGAGTTCTCTCCACACAATTTTTGAGGACACATGATTTGAAAGACTGAGATTGAGCTCTGCGGTCACTTTTGCAGCAGTTGTTTTCTTATTTCACAATCCTGCACAATGTCTTTTTGCCGCTTTTGGCACTTATGCTTATCAAATTACGTTTTCCCGGAAACTGTACACTCACCGGCAACTTTATTAGGTATACCTTGCTAGTGCCAAGAAAATATCCCCCACACCATTACACCAGCCTGAACCGTTGATATAAGGCAAGATGGATCCATGCTTTTATGTTGTTTACACCAAATTCTAACCACCTGAATGTCACAGCAGAAATCAAATGCCCATTCTGACATCAACAAGGCAATTTTGTCCACACAACTTTGGCTCACTAGATATTTTCTCTTTTTTGGACCATTCTCTGTAAACCCTAGAGATTGTTGTGTGGGAAAAACCCAGTATATCAACCTTTTGATACTGTATCTCATGACATGGCAAATAAATTGGCAACTTCACTCACCAGCTAAGCAGACAGCAACAATTTGTCCTTTTTGAAGCTCAGTAAGCTCTGACATGACTCGGTATTACTAGCAGCGCATGCAGTGAATGATGAAAGTGAAGCTTCCCACATGTTAGCAAGGTGTCTCATCACACAGCAGAAACAAAAGAATGTTACATCACTTCCACTTTCAATGTAAAATGTCAACATTTTCACACCTGCAAATCCTGTAGTTAGTGTTTCCATATTTTCTGTCCAACCCCTGTAGTACTGAAAGGAACAAGTGTTCCCATTGGAAGGTTTCCCCTCTGTTTCTGTTCCGGTGGCAACTCTAAATTTTAAACGTATCTTCTCTTTCATTCTCTGTGACATTAGTAGTTAGGACAATTAGAAAGAATGAATACTTTCATTAGATGTTTTTCTACGACACATAAACTCAGAGCTACCGAAGTTTATATGATGCTAAGGGGCTAAACTGACAAAGCTAAAACATCAGATTAAGGATTCTTATTTAAAAGGAGTGACAGTTATTTTCAGTTTCAATGAGATTTACAAATTATAGCCATATGGCTGAAAACAAAGATGCTTATCCTTGTGTAAAATTTCAGAAATTGTGCATGTTGTATGTTATTTAAAGTGGAAGTTTAGTCAGAAAATTAAGTACTGCTAGATTACTTCAGGCTTCAGACATTAAAAATACCGTATTTTTCGCTCCATAAGACGCACCTGACCATAAACGCACTTAGATTTTAGAGGAGAAAAATAAGAAAAAAAATATTCTGAACCAATGGACTGCAGACACAGTAGAGGAAATGATCAGAGACTGCAGACATAGTACAGATGACCAGAGACTGCGGACATAGTACAGGAGATGACCAGAGACTGCGGACATAGTACAGGAGATGACCAGAGACTGCGGACATACTACAGGAGATGACAGGAGATGTGGACACAGTACAGGAGATGGCCAAAGACTGCAGACACAGTACAGGGGATGACCAGAGACTGCGGACACAGTACAGGAGATGGCCAGAGACTGCGGACACAGTACAGGAGATGGCCAGAGCCTGCGGACACAGTACAGGAGATGACCAGAGACTGGGACATACTACAGGGGATGACCAGAAACTGCGGACACAGTACAGGAGATAGCCAAAGACTGAGGACACAGTACAGAAGACCAGAGACTGCGGACACAGTACAGGAGATGACCAGAGACTGCGGACACAGTACAGGGGATGGCCAGAGACTGCGGACCCAGTACAGGGGATGACCAGAGACTGCGGCGGTCCCAGTACAGGGGATGACCAGAGACTGCGGACCCAGTACAGGGGATGACCAGAGACTGCGGACCCAGTACAGGGAATGACCAGAGACTGTGGACATAGTACAGAAGACCAGAGACTGCAGACAGTAAAGGAGATTACCAGTGACTGTGGACCTTGGGGGGGGAGGGAGGGGGAACGGGTACCTGAATTTGACAGATACCCACTCCCACTTCCGCGGAGTTGTCCTTCCTTCTTTTCCCGTGGTGCCTTCTGTGACAGCCGGGTGCCCACTGCGCATGCGCGAGAAGCGCCGCGCTTTGTGAATGGCCCGGAGCCTTCTGGGACCTGCCATGTGTCCCAGAAGACACCGGACCATTCATAAAGGGCGGCGCTTCTTGCGCATGCGCAGTGGGCACCCAGCTGTCACAGAAGCCGCCGCGGGAAGACTGCAGTGCTGGAGCGAGGAACAGGTAAGGTCCTGCAAGAGAGAAGAGCTGAGCAGCCGGCCCGATATTTTGACATGGTGGCGGCAGAAATACTGGACTGGCCACTTTACATTCTCTCCATAAGACACACGGACATTTTCCCCCTTTTTTTGGGGGGAAAAAAGTGCGTCTTATGGAGCGAAAAATACGATAAGTGCCTATACTGTTTAAAATTCAATAATACACTGTCTCACCCTGTTCTGCACATGCACAATTGCTCTTTATTTTTCAACAATGTGCCGAAAATCAGAGCTACTAGAAGGGGCAGTGGTGTATTTTGTTTTTTGTGCTGCACTAAAACACAAAAATTTTAAAAATTTGGTGCCACCCCCTAAACACGCATTCTAAAAAAAAAGAGAGAGAAAGAGAAAGGTTCCTCCAGCACTCACCTCCAGAATGAAAGCAGACAGCCATCCCTGGAGACATGGTCAGGAAAATCCAGTGTCGTCCTTGTGTGGCAATGAGCCCTCAGCCTCTCTTGGATCCCATGGCAGAACTCAGGCAGTGCCTCAACTGGTCCCCATCCTTGGTCACCTGCCATGTGTCTCTTCTTCCATAGGCCAGTGCCGCCCCCCCCCCCCCCCCCCCCTGAAAAATGCTGCCCAAGGCAAATGTCTTGTTTTCCTTGTGGTAAATATGCCCCTCACTAGAGGCTGATCTGCTGACAGCCTAAAGATTAATGCTGCTCAGGGACTCTGGACTTCAGAAAAATGGCAGCCTCTGTTAAGAAGAAACAGGAACAATTTACAGCATACACAAATTTCTAGCATACCTATATTCCTTGCTAAAGAACATGTTATGAGTAAAGTTTTGCTCAATCTCAATCCCAATCTCAATCCCAGTCAACTTTGTTTTCGATAGAGCAAGGGTCAAGTCTTTATTGCTGTCTGTGTCAGGACATAAAGCAATTATACATTTTTCCAATGGGCACATAAATACATTTTTATTATAGCGAGGAAGGGTTAGAACATCTTGCAATTTTTTTTATAGTCAGTGCAAGCTTGTCTTGGTAAGAATCACTTCCCCTTTTCTTGTCCTGGAGTCAAAGAGACAGGAAGTGAAGTTAAATCTCCCCTGTGGTCTGTATGTGGTCACAGACAGAATTAAAACCCTTACATAAAAATTTGGACTCTTCCCCACACTATCCATGCCCTACAAAAAATTTTGGATGGAGATAAAAGATGTCAAGATTAAATCACGCATTGCATTAGCAGGTTCCTTAATGAGGTCTTCAATTACTACCGGCGAGAAATGAAACCTGGCTTGCAACAGTGTATCTGCTTTACATCTCTCTGAAGTTATCCAGATCATGAAAAGAACTCCACCATTTGATACTCAGATGATTTTGTCCCCAGAGAGAATTTAATACCCATGTTCTCACTAACAGGATGCTATTTATGAAACAGGGGGCACTAGAGGCTGGGAATTATAAAAAAGAATCCACATAAAACTGGAGAGCAACCAGAAGATGTCTAGAATGCACATGAAGCATTACTAAACGGACCGATCATGAATGTTTCAGTAATCTCCAATGCTAAACATTGCAGTTTTCTCAAAACCTGATTCTTTTAGCTCTGCTTTCTTTCTTGTCTATGTAGTTTTATTCTGAAATTGCATATGCATGTGCATATTTTACACATAGAATAAATATTCTGTATGCCTCCTTTCAAATGAATTTCATCAGCATAGAAACAAAGCATGTCTGTTGCAAGGCCAAAGATGTGCTGTGTTTGCAGAATGTGTTAAGCCATGAGTTAGAATGCTCCAAGGATATGCCAGAAATAAAGGGCTTAACTCATTCCCTGCTTCTTTTCTGTTGCCAGCATTGTTTATGGTTTGGCCATCCAATAAAGGAATTTTTGAGAGAATGAAGGCACCTTCTTAATTAGACAAGAGCAAAACCCTTTGGTGAAGTTAGGCTAGTCAAACTGAAATTTCTTTTCTGCAAAACTCCTGCCAATTGAAATTTACAAGCATCTTCACTTCACTTGAATGGTCCAAAGCATATATTATAATGGGCATTTTTTGCAATTTGTCTTACCTGCATTGTTTAAAAGTGTACGACACAAAACTAATTAATTTTTAAGACACTTTTTAATCAAAATGCTAAAAATAAAGAATAACTGGAGTAGGAAAAAAAGGCATGGCAAATAACAACCAACAGAGAGCATGGTGATAGGGGTGATGAGTAATGCTTAAATATACATAGGTATAAGTTACAGACTGACTGTAATCTATCAGTCCAAAATATTCAACAAATATTAAACCCTTCTGACTAAACCTGAAGGACCAGAAAACCAGGACATCTGTACATCCGTCATTTGATTATCTTGGTTTTTATAAATGAGGACAATAATTAAAGTATAATCCCGGGCCAAAACTAGCTAGCCTTAAACCTGCTCCCACCCCCATTCTAAGCCCTATACTATCTATCCTTTAACATCCTGTAAAGGAAAGATGTGTAGAGTTACTTATTCTAAGGGCACTCCAGTCCAGTTACATGGTCAGCTTCCAGCACCACCTTTAGCGTAGAGGAGGAGCAGCTGACAACATATGCTCCATAAGTCTATGGATGATGTCACTACCAAGGCATTGCAGCTGTTGTCGCTGCTCTCTTCTCTTCTCCTGAAGTTGGCCACTGCGGGGATCATGTGACCGGACCAGAGCACCCTCAGATTAGGTAAGTATACACAATTTTCCTTTACAAGATAGTTAGTATAGGGTTTAGAATGGGGGTGGGAACAGGTTTAGGATTAGATAGTATTAGTCTGGACATCTACTTTAAATCCAACATTTTAGATGTAAATGTAGCTTCTGTCCTGATGAGAACATGCATCAGAACAAAAAAAGTAAATTAATCTCTCTGATAGGATCACAGACGGCAATTAAAATCCTGACAGATATGAAGCTTTCTATAATCTACCCAAAACTAATATGTAATAGTTAATAACATTCAACTGTAAAAGAATGTCCCTTCTGTTTAAAGCGGTTGTCCAGTATATTTAAAGAAATCAGGTACCTGCAACCTAAAGGTGCCAATCCTTAACAGGGAACAGGGGGGAGGAGGCCTTAAAACAGAATTTCCCCTTTTGAGTGGAGCTCCACTTTAAGGTGTAGGAAAACTGCTGAATTTTGACCTATAGAATTTGCTATTCTATGTTACTTCATTTGTTGAGAGATTGTTTTTTCTCCACAGTGTACAGGTCATTGCATTCTTCACTACATTGTACTGAAAATTCAAAGTTACTTTGCTTGCATTTGGGTGTTGGGTCTTTTGGATGTACAAGCTCCTGTCTCAGTTTTTTGCAGGTATTGATTTACTAAAATTGGAGAGTGCACAATATAGTGCATATATCAACCGACTTAAAATATACCCAAAGTCCAAATAAATGTCCCAAATCGTGAAAAACTGTGAAAAATTGTCCAAATTGCATCCAGATCTTGACAAATAGGTACCCACTCGTACACAGTGAAGATGAATCCCAGATGTTTTTCAAATACCTCAAAAAAAGAAAAATCTAGACATAGTGTATTATCTTAGGTCTTAGAAACAGTGCCACATGTGTAGCATGCAAACACTATAGTACCACAGCAATCGTGTAAACATACTCAATATACACCACTGCAAACCATATAGCAAGAATGCATAATTACCCTAAATTCAATATAATCAAACATATCCAAAATTTTAGGCATGGAATATCCTCAGATAGACATCCTCTTCTCCAGACACTTCCCTTAAACCTCACAAACAGACCAGAGATCAGCGTGTGAATCAAATAACAAACAAATTTTATTGTAGCCACTTACATTGTAGACTGATAAAAAGAGCTTCCTGGTCCTGACAATGTATATACAGCCATATTGTGGTATCAAACAGCACCCTGATAATAGGTATATACTGTCACAGTACTACTCAATACTGACACTTCAGCCCTAGAAGGATGCCAGGAGTGTACTGAGAGTCTCAGGAATGCAGACCACCATGCGCTCCAGAATCCAAAATGGCCACCGCGCCACGTCAATACGTCACTACGTCACGTGCCGACAGCTGCAAAGGCTGTTGGGACTTGTAGTTTTTCATTCACAGAATTCTGTGAATGAATGATGCAACCGGCTAAACGAACCACACCTTTTTTGAATTGTGACAACAGAAACAGGGAGAAGATCCCCAGTCTGCTGTCACAGTGTGGTCTCATGGGGCATGGGGGCAGCTGCAGCACTAACATGTTATACCCTAAATATGGGTGTAACATTTAACATGTTGTCCTTTAATTGAACAAGCTGAAGCTAGAAGCTGATTTGCTACTATGTACAGGTGCACCAGATTTTGCACTCTCCAGTTTTAGAAAATCAACTTCATAGAGATGTTATGTTTGCTAAATACCCTTCTGAATTTTTCCAATGCTTCAACCACAAAGGGGATTACTATATTATTCAATGGGGTTGATTTGCTAAACGCGAATAGATTGTGCACTTGGCAAGGAAGTTGTGCTGTACAAGGACACGTGCTAATAAATAAGGGTAAGCTCTGCTGACTTCCATCATACAATCATGTGCAAGGAAAAATGCTGTTTTTTTCCTTTTTCTTGTATGTGATTGGGTTCACC